TGTCCATATTTCTGTGCTCAAAGCGGTACATTTTTTTCCATGGAAGTATGTTTTTTTTTTATTGTAGGCCTGTAATTTTTAGGAATAACTCACTGAAATCTGTCCGAACAAGAGTCTAGTAAACATCCCGGGTAGGATAAAACTTGAAACACGAAATCATAAATTATAATTTAGTAAAAAATAATATTATAATAATAAATTTAATTCAATAATATAATCAAACCAAAAACACTGAAATTTAAAATATAGTGCCAAGTTCGCATATCACTGAGCAAAGTCGCAAAATCGATTTCAGTGTCTGATGACGAATTTCCCCACGAATCATTATCACTCAGATCTGCAAGTGATTTACTATCGCTGGTCTAAAACCGCTTTTGACCTAAAGGGACGCTTTTTGGACGCCATGGACGTTTCTCAGTTTCCAAGCAGAAAGAACAGTAAAAATGTAGGCAGGGCACAGGACAAAGCACTCGGGACAAAATGTATGTGAAATGGTTTGATACAGTAATGTTTTACTATGTGATTTTAGTGAATGTCACTTTTTGTTATTTTCAAATTTCCCGCCGTTCCGTCCCCCATACGTCCCGACGCTCGCAGGGGACGGAACCCAGATGCCGGCATCCGCCGGATTACATTGCCGGGGACACTGCAGGAGGGACATCGCGGGGAGCGCAGGACAAAGTAAGTGATCGAGGGATCCCGGAGCAGCGCCGCATGGTAAGCCCAAATGTAGCTCGGGGTTACCGCTTGTGGTACTGAAACTTTACCCCGAGCTACACTCGGGAATACCGCCAGGGAGGTTAAAAACCCCAAGACTTGGAATTCAGCTTTAAAGTGGTAGTAAACTGCTACTTTTCATGAAAAAAAAATATATCTCCTGCAAGGCAATGGCATAATGCGCTAGTATGCATGGAATACTAGCACTTTATGAAATTCTTACAATACTTACCTTAGAACGAAGCCCTCCAGCGGTGAGCTGTCAGCACTGACAGGGTTTCCATCTTCCTTCCAGGTTCACTGGCTCAGGTCCTTTGAATGACCAAGCCGTGATGATGTCACTTCCGCGTATGCACACAGGTGTCACAGGTAACGGCCAACAGCTTTGAAGGGACGGCACAGGTATGTCATTCCTTAGTCCTCATGCACACTGGACATTATAAAACCACCAGTAGCATTAGCTATAGAATGCTGCAATAAAAATGTGAGGTTTTTTTGCATTTTTTTAGCTTTTTTGCATTAGCTTTTTTTAGCGTTTTTTAGTGCTTTTCGTGCTTGCATTTTTTTTTTTTAGCAAAGTTATATTCTCACAAAATCTTCAGGCTCAAAAACGCTCATAAACGCTGGATAGCTTTTATCAGTGTTTTTCAGCTTTTATTAGCATTTTTACAGCTAAAAAACTCCTCAGCCAGAAAACACCCCTGCCAAACAACGCTGATTAAAACCTATGTGTGCATGAATACATAGGATAACATACTGGGGGGTTTACTGGCTGTAGAAAAAGGCCAAAAGCCAAAAACAGCAGCTGTAAAAACATCTAGGGTGCATGAGGACTAAAGAGCGCATGTGCCAGTGATGTCACCAGCTGCATCCAGTGGTAATATCCCCTAAACATCGCAGGATTAGGAGGTATTCACTGTACCTACAGGTAGGCCTTATTGTAGGCTTACCTGTAGTTAAAATGTCCAAAAGCAGAGTTTACTAATGTTTTAGAGTATAACTAAAGGCCAAACTTTTTTGAGGTTTGAATAGCATGGAGAGGGATTAGAACGCCTGTCAGGTTTTTTACTGTCTGTGCCCCCAGTTATGGAGAGTCATTCTCTCTATTTGGAAAACTCATACAAATGAGCGCAGAGTCCAGGTGGAAACATGTGAACAGTTAATCATGAGCTCACCACTGCTGCCTTTTAATCATATGCATGATGAAGAGAACTGGAAAAAAAAAGGCGCTGTGGAAAATGCTCTCAGACAAGCACCTTAGTGGAGGTGCATCTTTATTGGGTGAGATAAAGTAGCAAGTATAATAAAAATTAACCAGCCTGAAGTGGAAAGTGTGATTCCAATAGACGGCCCGTCCGCTCTGAGGGGAGCTGAGATCAAAGAATGCTCCTGTGGGCTTCAATCACGTGGTGTCAGCGTACCAGCGTCCTGGGTGGTGTCACCATGGCAAACGAAGGCAGTGTCCGGCGTTGGCTTCAGCTGGGAGCATATGTGGGGTTACCAAAAGACGACATGTTTCGCGCAGTTGCGCTTTGTCAAGACTTGACAAAGCGCAACTGCGCGAAACATGTCGTCTTGGTAACCCCACATATGCTCCCAGGTGAAGCCAACACCGGACACTGCCTTCGTTTGCCATGGTGACACCACCCAGGACGCTGGTACGTGACACCACGTGATTTGAAGCCGACAGGAGCATTCTTTGATCTCAGCTCCCCTCAGAGCGGACGGGCCGTCCATTGGAATCACACTGTCCACTTCAGGCTGGTTAATTTTATTATACTTGCTACTTTATCTCACCCAATAAAGATGCACCTCCACTAAGGTGCTTGTCTGAGAGCATTTTCCACAGCGCCTTTTTTTCCAATTCTCTCTATTTGTCCTGTTTAACATTATCATGAAAGTGAAAGTAAAAGAAAATCCCCAAATTTTGGGTTGTCCCCAGAACAGGGAAAATCTTCTAATGGGGGGGGGGGGGACCTGGGGGTCCCCAAGGATTTCCCTTAAAGTGATTCTAAAAGGCATCATTTAAAAAAAAAAAAAAAAACATTCCTATGCTTACCTGTTTGTATGCAGTGGTTTTGCACAGGAGCAGCTCAGATCCTCCTCTTCTTCTGGGGTCCCCCACAGGCTCTCCTGCTTGTCCCTCCTGTCGGGTGCCCCCACAGTACGTAGTTTGCTATGGGGGCACCCACTGCTCCATATGTCCATTCACACACGGAGCCGCAGCTCGTGTGTGAATCATGCTCATTGGCTCACTTGCTGTTGTTGACAGCAGCAGCAGGAGCCAACAGCTCCCACTGCTATCTCAGCCAATGAGAAGAGGCAGTCCCAGAATAGCTGAGACTCCAGTGCACATTGTTGGATTGAGAGGGGGCTTAGGTATTAGGGGGGCTGGGAGTATTAGCATTAGGGGGCTGGGAGGGGTGCTGCACACAGAAGATTTTTTAACTTCATGCATAGAATGCATGAAGGAAAAAAACCTTCAGCCTTTACAACCACTTTACTTTACAGAGATTTCCTCTCACTTCCTGTTTGGCTATGGGACAGGAAGTGAATGGAAACCTCCCCACTGGGACACAGATGGCAAAAAAAAAAAAATCTGACACCTTCTTTTGCTCTACCCAAAATGAAAAAATAAAGTTTTGCTTATAGTTCTACTTTAAAAAACCGCTTCCCTGCTGCCGTATAGCAGATATACTGCTACATGGTGGCACGGGTGCGCAAAATCACGTATATATATATACGTAATTTTCATTTTCCGGATAGGGGGGCGTCGTGCGAGCTGTGCATGCCCCCTACCCGCGCCGTCATTCGCGGCCACGGATGTCAATCACTGGGTCCCAGCCGGTGATTAATGACAATCACTGAGGGGGAGGAAGACTGTTTTGTTTACAGTCTTCCTCCCTGTCAGCTAGGGCACACTGCTTGGGATGGCTGTGCACAGCACTGCCATCCCGATCAGTGTGCTTACAGTGAAGCACACACCCCCCCACCCCCTAGTAAAACACTCCCTACACACAGTTAACCCCTTTGATCGCCCCTCATGTTAACCCCTTCCTGCCCAGTGTCATTAGTACAGTGTCAGTGATGTTTTTGCACTGATCACTGCACTGGTGTCACTGGGGATGTCAGTGACACCAAGTTAGTTCCCCCCAGTGTCAGAATGCCCGCTGCAGTCCCACTAAAAGTTGCTGATTGCCGCCATTACTAGTAGGGAAAAATAAAAAAATTACAGTATATATACCTCCATTTGTAAACCTTATAACTTTCACGTAAACCAATTACTGTACACGTATTGGGATTTTTTTTTTTAGCAAAGACGCAGCAGAATACCTTTTGGCCTAAATTTATGATAAAATTGTATTTTTTATATTTTTTTACTGGAAGTTTAATAGCAAAAAGGAAAAAACATTGTTTTTTTTCTCAAAATTGTCGTTTTTTTTTGCTTATAGTGCAAAAAATAAAAAACGCACAAGCGATCAAATACCAACAGCAAGCTCAATTCGTGGGATAAAAAAGACGTAAATGTAATTTGGGTGCGGCATTGCATGACCGTGCAATTGTTTGTTAATGTAACACAGCTCCGTAATGCAAAAAATGGCCTGGTCAGGAAGAGGGGTAAATCCTCAGGAGGGCAAGTGGTTAAAGCAAGCCTTCAAAAGCGGAGACTGAATACTTACTTGCACTGCCCAAACCCTTACCAACACTTAATAGGAGATAAGCGGGAACACTGGAAGAAGGGGAGGATCAGAGAAGACAGGATCAAACAGCCTTTTTACACAGTGCAGAGGATTAACCCCTTAGGTTCCACAGTGAGTGTAACAAGCATGCTTTACTACATATACAGACTGATTCTACTGTTGTGGGTTTAGCAGCACTTTAAGAGAAATCCTCCACTGGGAAATTGAGCCTTCCAATAGCGGCAAGCTCCTTAGTTCCCTGCAGGCCTCAAGTGACATGGAGGTCAGTAGGGGGAAGCACTGAGCGCTGCGGGGAGGGTTTCATGTCTCCTGCGGTGTATATCAAAGCAAACAAAAACAATATGCATAACCACACCCACCATGCATAACCACACCCACCATGCATACTGTGTTCCCCCCGTCCCCTATTTTCGGTAACACACCAATCTTCCTGTGTACTTCCCCCGATCCCCACACACATATCTCATACTACAACCTCCTACTCTCAAGGCAGACTAGCGGTCCTGAAGTCTCTCCTCCCTCCCATGTGACATCGAGCGCCCCGCCCCTACTAGAGGTCAGCGTGTGGGGCGCACCTAGACTATGGCGGCGCCCATAAGAGCGGTGAGCCGGTGTTGGCGGCGGCCGGTGCTGTGGCCCTGGTGGAGGAGGGGGACAGCCGGCTGTCTCTTCTCTCAGCACACACACAGCTCGGGGAGGGACACTCACTTCGGCTTCCAGACCGTGTCTGAGGAGGAGAAGGGGGACAGAGGTAACCCCGCCCCCGGACTTCTGTCCTCCTGTGTAAACAGCTCTCAACTCTTCCCCATAGTAGTCCCCCAAGTACTGGAATGGTCCACCCTTCTGTAGGCTTCCCTATAGTGAGCAAGAGGAAATCTAGCTGACAGCATTATCTTTTTGGTTTTGTCTTAATTCGGGTGATTTCCCCCACTTCCTGTCCCTGTGACCCCAGGAAACACCACATTGATGTAAGGCAGCCCTTGCTCCCCCTTTTAATCACTTGCCCTCCAGAGGATTTACCCCCCTTCCTGTCCCTGTGACCCCAGGAAACAACACATTCACATGTAAGGCAGCCCTTGCCCCCCTTTTAATCACTTCCTGTCCCTGTGACCCCAGGAAACTCCACATTCACATGTAAGGCAGCCCTTGCCCCCCCCTTTTAATCACTTCCTGTCCCTGTGACCCCAGGAAACACCACATTCACATGTAAGGCTGCCCTTGCCCCCCCTTTTAATCACTTCCTGTCCCTGTGACCCCAGGAAACACCACATTCACATTAGCCCCCCCCCCTTTTAATCACTTCCTGTCCCTGTGTCCCCAGGAAACAACACATTCACATGTAAGGCAGCCCTTGCCCCCCTTTTAATCACTTCCTGTCCCTGTGACCCCAGGAAACACCACATTCACATGTAAGGCAGCCCTTGCCCCCCTTTTAATCACTTCCTGTCCCCCCCAGGAAACACCACATTCACATTAAGGCAGCCCTTGCCCCCCCCCCCCCCCCCCCCCAATCACTTCCTGTCCCTGTGACCCCAGGAAACACCACATTCACATGTAAGGCATCCCTTGCTCCCCCCTTTTTTTTTTGTTTACAAATGTTTTTATTTTGCAAAAATAGACTGTAAAACAACAGTACAGTTTCAAATGATACAGCAAAAACAAGGCACTTTTGAAAAGTACAATACATACAATTATATTAATATAAGAGAGAGAGGAAATAGAAAAAAGTAGATTGCAAGTACATGAAATGTGTAAACGATTAAGTAGGCTGAATGTTACTTCTGTCAACCGTATATACCAGTCAACCTTCACTTGGGATGTTATTAAACATGCAATAAATGTCTAGAATCCTTCCAAGATTCCCATTTTTTTATCAAAAAAGCACATCTTATCAATAGGGTATAATGAATACGCTCCATGAGCATCACAGCATCAACTCTATGCAAAACGGTGGTTAAGGGTCCAGTGTTGGACTTCCAATGCGAGGTAATCGCCCACAAAGTGGCAATACAAATAGTATGTATCAATCTCATAATGTCATTAGAGACTCCTGGGATATGAGCCCCCAATAGACAGGTCTGTATAGACAATTGCACTGGGATACCCACCAATGAGGTAGCCACCTCAGATAACCTGCGCCAAATCAGAGATATGGTCGGGCAATCCCAAAATATATGAACCAAAGTACCTGTGAAGCCACAGCCCTGGAAACATAAAGGGGATGTTTGTGGGAACAATACATGTAGTCTTGATGGGGTATGATACCATCTGGTTAAACCCCCTTGCTCCCACTTTTAATCACTTGCCCTTCAGAGGATTTACCTCTTTCTGACCCTGTGACCCCAGGAAACAACACATTCACGTGTAAGGCAGCCCTTGCTCCCCCTTTTAATCACTTGCCCTCAAGAGAATTTACCCCATTTCCTGTCCCTGTGACCCCAGGAAACAACACATTCACGTGTAAGGCAGCCCTTGCTCCCCCTTTTAATCACTTGCCCTCCAGAGAATTTACCCCCCCCTTTCCTGTCCCTGTGACCCCAGGAAACAACACATTCACATGTAAGGCAGCCCTTGCTCCCCCTTTTAATCACTTGCCCTCCAGAGAATTTACCCCCTTCCTGTCCCTGTGACCCCAGGAAACAACACATTCACATGTAAGGCAGCCCTTGCTCCCCCTTTTAACCACTTGCCCTCCAGAGGATTTACCCCCTTTCCTGACCAGACCTTTTTTTGCGTTACGGCTCTGCGTTACTTTAACTGACAATTGCGCGTTCATGCAATGCTGCACACAAGAAAAAAAAAAAAAGACCAACAATTTTGAGAAAAAAAAACAATATTTTTGAATTTGTTGCAATAAAACATGTCCAGTAAATTTTTAAAAGTCAAATTTCATCATATATTTAGGCCAAAATGTATTCTGATACGTCTTTGCTAAAAAAAAAAAAAATCCCAATATGTGTAAATTGGTTTACGTGAAAGTTATAGCATCTACAAATGGCGGAATATAGATACTGGAATTTTTATTTATACTAGTAATGGCGGCGATCAGTGACTTTTAGCGGGACTGCAGTGGGCATTCTGACACTGGGGGGGAACTAACTGCCACTGACATTCCAATGACGTCCTATGCCTACACCCCTTTGCTGACAGGTGGGTCCCTCATTCCCTTCTCAAAATGTTGGGAGATATGGAACAGACATCCCTGCAGTGTAGTTTTCTCCCAGATTCAGCTGCCTGCACCATGTTGGCCATCCTTCATAAAATCATAAGTAATGTTACTAAAGCTATTGGGATTTTTGAGCCTTGTTTTTATCTCCCACCTGTGCTCAGACCTGAACCCGCTCTGGGCTGTTTACACATTCTGAGCTAAAAATTAAACAGCATGTCGCATTTGATGGAAGTTACTGCTGCTGAATGAGGCCCATGCAGGTTTGTGGGGCTGAACCACAACTGCATGCAATTAGGGCATAGTGGTGTGGAATTTACAGGGTAAATCAGGTGGTAATGAGGAAAATTATTGTGGGAAAAAGTGACCCATTTTAACAGCTTCCCAACCGCCCTATAGCAGAACTACACAAAATCCCATATATATAGGTGATTTTGCATTTCCGGGTAAGGGGCGTGCGTGCTGCCCCACACGTGCCACCATTGGCAGCTACAGCTGTCGATTACCAAGTCCCGGCCAGAGATTCCCCACTGGCACCTAGCGATCGCTGATGAACACTGACAGGGCAGAGGTCTGTATGTAAACAATACACATCTCTCCCTGTCAGCAGCACCATGCTGCTTTGCATTGCTCTGCACAGCAGAACAATACAAAGCAGCATGCTCACATAGTAAAACAGCACAGGTTAACCCTTTGATCGCCCTCATGTTAACCCCTTCCTGCCCAGTGCCATTAGTACAGTGTCAGTGCTTTTTATTAGCACTGATCACTGTATTGGTGTCACTGGGGATGTCAGTGACACCAAGTCAGTTCCCCCCAGTGTCAGAATGTCTGCCGCAGTCCCGCTATAAGTTGCTGATCGCCGCCATTACTAGTAAAAATAAATGTAAAAATCCCAGTATATATAGAGCCATTTGTAAACGCTATACCTTTCACGTAAACCAATTAATTTACACTTAATGGGATTTTTTTTTTAGCAAAGACTTGTAGCAGAATACAGTTTGGCGTATATTTATGACAAAATTAGATTTTTAAAATATTTTTACTGGATATGTTTAATAGCAAAGAGACAAAAATATTGTTTTTTTTCTCAAAATTGATGATCTTTTGTTCTCTTTTTTTTTTTTTTTTTTATAGCGCAAAAAATAAAAAATGTCACTGGCGATCAAATACCACCAAAAGAAAGCTCAATTCATGGGAAAAAAGGACGTAAAATTTCATTTGGGTGCAGCGTTGCATGACCACGCAATTGTCAGCTAAAGTAACACAGCGCCGTAGCGCAAAAAATGGCCTGGTCATGAAGGGGGGTAAATCCTCAGGAGGGCAAATGGTTAAAACAGTTGTAAACAATAACATTTTTAAAAAATGATAAACACGTTACATTTACCTGCAATGGTTTTGCACAAAGAGGCCTGAACCTCCTCTTCTGGGTTCCCCCACTGGTGCTTACTGCTCCTCCTCTTCTCTATGTGCCTCCATAGGAAGCCACTTCCTATGGTGGCGCACCTGAGGCTCACTCCCAAGCTGGGCTGTGTGTATCCATAGACACACACATTGCGACTCAGCCCTACCCCTCCACTCCCTCCTCATAGGATTGACAGCAGCAGGAGCCAGTGTCTTGTGATGAGGGAGAGGAGAGCACTGCTGCAGATGGGCACAGTGCTGGATCAAAATAGGACTCAGGTAAGGATAAATGGGGGTGAGGGGTTGACACATCTGCTGTAAGGCTAAAGGTAAGGATAAAGGGGGGGGGGGGGGTGCTGGTAAGGCTAAAGGGGGTGAGGGTTGCACATCTGCTGGTAAGGATAAAGGGGGGTGAGGGGTTGGCACATCTGGTAAGGATAAAGTAAGGATAAAGGGGGGTTGGGGGGTGAGGGGTTTGGCACATCTGCTGGTAAGGATAAAGGGGGTGAGGGGTTGGCACATGTGCTGGTAAGGATAAAGGGGGGGTGAGGGGTTGGCACATGTGCTGGTAAGGATAAAGGGGGGTGAGGGGTTGGCACATGTGCTGGTAAGGATAAAGGGGGGTGAGGGGTTGGCACATGTGCTGGTAAGGATAAAGGGGGGTGAGGGGTTGGCACATGTGCTGGTAAGGATAAAGGGGGTTGAGGGGTTGGCACATGTGCTGGTAAGGATAAAGGGGGGTGAGGGGTTGGCACATGTGCTGGTAAGGATAAAGGGGGGTGAGGGGTTGGCACATGTGCTGGTAAGGATAAAGGGGGGTGAGGGGTTGGCACATGTGCTGGTAAGGATAAAGGGGGGTGAGGGGTAGGGATGGGGGTGAGGGGTTGGCACATGTGCTGGTAAGGATAAAAGGGGGGGGTGAGGGGGTTTGACACATCTGCTGGCAAGGATAAAGGGGGGTGAGGGGTTGGCACATGTGGTGGTAAGGATAAAGGGGGGTGAGGGGTTGGCACATGTGCTGGTAAGGTTAAAGGGGGGTGAGGGGTTGGAACATGTGCTGGTAAGGATAAAGGGGGGTGAGGGGTTGGCACAAGTGCTGGTAAGGATAAAGGGGGGTGAGGGGGGTTGGCACATGTGCTGGTAAGGATAAAGGGGGGTGAGGGGTTGGCACATGTGCTGGTAAGGATAAAGGGGGGTGAGGGGTTGGCACATGTGCTGGTAAGGATAAAGGGGGGTGAGGGGGGGTGGTAAGGCACAAGTGCTGGGGTTGGCACATTTTGGTAAGGATAAAGGGGGGTAGTGGGTTGGCACAAGTGCTGGGACATTAATTTTACCTTAAGGTAGGGAATAAAACATTTCCTGCCTTTACAAGCAGTTTGTAAGCTTTAGTCTGCTTTCACACTGATCCGCTTTTCTTCCGCTTTTGTGTTGAAGAAAAGAAAAAAAAAAAAGGGTAAGAAAAACGTGTTACCATGTAATCCTATGGAACTCTTCACACTGATCCGTTGTGGGTCCGCTGTGTTTAGTAAAATCCTGCTTGTTGCATTTTTGGTACAGTAAAAAGCACACACCAAAAAACGCACCTCCCCATTGAAAAGCATGGAAAACGTAGGAAAAACACACTCGCGTTGCATTATTGAGGCAGTTTTTGAGTCACGTGTGCTGTGTAAAGCACACAGCAAACACAGTAAAAGCGCTTTTTATGCTTTTTTTTAGCGCATTTTTGCTACGAATCAATGGGAATGCTGCCTTAAAGTGGTTTGAAATTCCAATGGCTCCTGCTGCTGTGTCTCAGCCAATGAGGAGGCAGAGACCTGGGAGAGCTTCTGCTGTCATGCACGTCGCTGAATTGGGATAAGGTGAGTATACATAGGGGGGGGGGGGCTGCAGAGGAAACTGTGCACTGAAGGTTTTTTACCATCATGCATAGAATGATTGTAAAAAAACACCTGTGCACACCCACTACAAAAATATGCTGATTCTTGGTAGCATACAACCAAAATTGGCTGGTGTCCCTGAGGTTCTAACAGGTGTAGCACATGTGGAGAAACTGGTAAAATAAAAAACAGTAACTGTTGATTCCCAACATGTCATAACTGAGAATAGTGATAGCAGGTACATAGGCAGTGATGCTCCCAGTAATCATGGTAGGGGTGGGCCGTGATAAATTATTCAGGTTGTCTGGTTTAAGAAGTAGACTAATTTGCATATTAGCAGTCCTTTCTGTTTCTCAGATACCATTGATGAGGTTATGTTTAAAACATTTCTGCCTCTGGAATCTAGAGCACGCCAAATCAAATTATTAACATGTCTTTACATGTAGTTTGATGGAAACCTATGAATCCCAGTATGAGGAGTTTTGGGACTTTATGGCCTCATTTAAATGGGCACTGACACCAATAGTCTGTGAATGGGCCATGTTTTCGTGTGCTGCTTGCAGGCTGTGCAAACACAGCCGCTTGGCCCAATTTAACAGCCTTTAGGGTTTTGGTGAGTGTCCCCTAAGGCCCATTTCACACGGTCGTTCAGTCTAGATCAGTCTGTTGGTTTTTCAGATGAATCCAGACTGAACCACAATGTATGTCTAGGGGTGGCCAGATGTAAACATATAAAGCAAAGCTGTATTTTGAACAAATTTATTAGAGCTTACGTTTGTGGGCTTTTGCTTTCATCAGAACTTATATTTTCTATACAATTCAACATCAAAGGTACATCAAAGCAACTTAGAAGCTTTGGAAAACCTACTGCATTTGACTTCTGACGGCAAACTAGTGATCATATTATTAGCAACCTCTATCCAGTGACAGGATTGCTATGCAGAGAAAATATTGTCCTACATCCACATGTTGTTCCTGCTTTGTACATATGAGACACTTCCCATAGACTTGAGAGGGCCGGTCATCAAAGGTCTGTATGGCCCATTCAAGTTGCTGAATATTTTTGAAAAGGGGATTTAAACACCCCTGTGGAAGTCCGTCATCGCCACTGGAGTGCACCTGGGTGGGGCAGAGGTTAGCTAATGCCGGCCATAGACAGGTCGAAAATCGGCCGATTTTTTTTTTGCACCGTTAGTGGGTTAATTGGTCGGCTGTTTTTTGGGGCTTTTGCACAATTTTTTTATCGGGCATGTTGCAAAATTCGCAGCCAATTTTCCCGGCAATGATGGGCAAATCGGCCGATCGTTTTACCGATAAAAAAAAATGCGCATGAGCCTTGACCTGCAAGAAGAAGAAGGAAGAATTCCAGTCCGCTGTTATATTTTATATGAAAAAGTCTTGCGGTTGCAACAAATGTATCCATTTGAATCCAAATAAAAACATTGTAATCCAAATAATGTATTACAATGTTTTTATTTGGATACAGATGTTTTTATTTGGATACAAATGGATACATTTGTTGCAACCACAAGACTTTTTCATAGAAAATATAATTGCTGACTGGAATTCTTCTTCTTATTCTTCTTGCTGCTGTCACATTGTGGTGTGCTCCCCTGTTTCTGCAAGGGACAGAAGTTATGGGGTTAGTGCCGGCCGATCGAACGACCCGTCTATGGCCTGCATAAGAGTAAGTTAGAGGCATAGGGAGTAGGGGCTGGGCACTTTTTATCTAATCACAAACTTGCCCTTTAAGGGGCCCTGTATGAGAAACCATTACTGTATGATCCACGATAATTTGATCATATAATTTGTCTTAACCTCTTATCTTTTTAGTCTATCGTGTATTTGAGAGTGTTGCTCAGAAATACGACATTATGAATGATTCGATGAGCCTGGGAATTCATCGATTGTGGAAAGACTGGCTGATACGTCATATGAATCCCACACCTGGCACTCAGCTGCTAGACGTGGCGGGAGGGACAGGTAACAATTAGAATAAATAATGAATTATCTCAAAATGAAGTAGACACTGTTTCAGTATTATTTACAAACATACCTATGCCCAAGTGCATGTTTGCATTTGCATTGGCAATAGGCTGTAAATTAATTCTGGGTACACTTACATGTTCTGGATCAGATAACAACATCTGAAAAGTCATTTGGGGGGAAAGGGGGGAGGGGGCTTGAGTAGCCTGTGCTATGTTTTTTTTTTTTTTTCAGTTGAAGCAGTTCTCGCTTCTTAACTCCCCTGTTGTGATTACCAGGGTTGTTTCATGCGGTTTCACCATATCAAATCTGCAGCACCGCATGCTAGGTTTGAAGAATGTGCTGACACAGGCAGTTAGGAAACACAAATGACAGCTTCTGGTCATCTCACTGAGGTTAAAGGCATTAAAAATCCAGTCTTAGGGATTACAGGGGAGTGGACGGAACAAGGGCCATATGAAGTAGTGTCATGCAAGTGCTACAGTAAACTCTATAGCTACTGTATACACAGTATTTAAAGGCATTTAAACAACCAAAAACATAGGCCAAAAACTTAGCAGTCAAAAATTTTGATTACCTTTAGTTGTCAAAAAATATGATTACCCCCTTAACGCAACCTCCCAGCAGCCCCTTAAAGCGTTACTAAACCCAGGAACCTGCATTCACTATATCTGGTCTCCCACAGTATATGGAAATGCAATTATTTTAAGAAATATAAACTGCTAAACACCTTTTTTTCTTATTAGCAGTTAGAACAGTCTTGTGACTTCTATCAGTGTCCAACAGAGCACTGGTTAAAGCTTTGTAGGAGAAGTTTTAATTCTCCCCTGATTGTTCTATGAGGCTGCAGAACCCCTGACCCTCTGTCTGGACAGTGCTGATTGGTCCTGTGCTGATCACATGTACTCTACCTAGCAATACACACCAACTTGAGCATGCACAGCTTGCCCCTAAAGCTCTGTTCTATCATCAGAGATGAATTGGGGACCGTGGAAGAATGGGATAAGATAGGATCAAACATCCTTTTTACATAATGCAGAGGATTAACCCCTTAGGCTCCACAGTGGGTCTAACAAGCATACTTTACTGCATATACAGACCAATTTTACTGTTGTGGGTTTAGTAACACTTTTAGGCTTTAAAGACTGGGAGGTGGTACAACTTCTCCATCACGTGATCATTGCGATTGGCTCTCACAGTTGTCAGATGATTGGTAGCTTGTCCTATAGGCTCCCAATCAAAAGCTGTAACTGTGAACTATCAATGACAGGTCACTTAGTGTTCTGGGAAGACACAGTGTATTCTCAGCACACAACCTCGGGCAGTTGTGGACACATATGTGCAGTGGTTGGGCAGTAAAGTCCACTTTATTTGCCGCCACATATGCGTTACACACTTGATAAAAGGTAAACCATCAAACAACTATATCTGACCTTAAGGCAGTGTTTCTCAACTCCAGTCCTCATGGACCCCCAACAGGTCATGTTTTCAGGATTTCCATTATTTTTGCACAGGTGATTTGATCAGTTTCACTGCCTTAGTAATTACCACAGCTGTTTCATCTGAGGGAAATCCTGAAAACATGACCTGTTGGGGGTCCATGAGGACTGGAGTTGAGAAACACTGCCTTAAGGGAACATCAACATGCATGCTTTTTTTTTTTTTTTTTATAGAGAGTGTTCATATATGTCTGCAGATAACTCTGGTCCTGCTTTTAACTAAGTTAGGTTAATTATGTTTTTTTACCAGAACCATCCATGTGTCAATAACAGAGATTTTCTGTGAGTATCTGTGCCTCCAAAAATATCCTGCTAAAAGAATGGTCATCTAATGTCATTGAGTACCTCAAAGGTATACTCCAGTGAAACAATAAAACGTAGCATTCATTTTGACTGCAGACACCTACCTGCTAAATGTCTTGAATTTTCATACTCTCCCTGCACTCGCTGTCACAATTCAAATACAGCGCCGCCATGTGGAACTGTACTAACATGGCCGTGTCATTCATTCATTTCCCTGTAAATGAATGGACTACAAGTACCCTTTTTCATTGCAGCAGACAGCTTATAGTTCTCAATGAACAGAGAGGGCACTGGTCAGTGCTCTCTCTTAGTTTATTGATCTTTCTGGATTTCAGTAACTGCCTTTCCATATAGAAGGTACTGGCAGACAGCTTTACTGGGAGTCTGCAGGAGCCTGACATTTAATCTGCGATCTGCTGATCACGGGGGCCATGCTTTATGGCTCATTAGAAAAAAATAATAAATGCATATTTTTTTACCTGCAAAAAAGTGCATTTATCTTCTTTTAAAAAAAAATGAACCTATCCTTTTAAGTTTAGATTTTAATATATCTGATTTCTATTTGATATTAGCTTACAACACGACTACCACAAGGATGAGCAGCACATGGGGTTAGTCTGGTGTTCTTCATGTATATTTGCTTGGGGAGAGATTATTTCATCAGTCTGTTGCTGCCCTCACTTTCCACTCACAGGCTTGGGCAGGGAGGTGACCTTTGCATGACTGCAGCAGAGAAAAGTAGGTTTGGCAGGGCTTTGTAATTCTTTGGACCCGATGGACAGTATTACAAATCCTTTGACAGGTAAAAACCAATCCCTTATACACAATATTGACAAAGTATTGGGACACCCCTCCTAGCCTTTGGATTCAGGTGTTCCGATCACTTCCATGGCCACAAGTGTATAAAATCAAGCACCTAGGCATGCAGACTGCTTCTGCAAACATTTGTGAAAGAATGGGTCGCTCTCAGGAGCTCAGTTAACTCAAGTGTGGTACCATGATAGGTTGCCACCTGTGCAATAAGTCCATCTGTGAAATTTCTTTGCTACTAAATATTCCATGGTCAACTGTTAGTGGTATTATAACAAAGTGGAAGCAACTGGAAACAACAGCAACTCGGCCAAAAAGTGGTAGGCCACGTAAAATGACAGAGCGGGGTCAGCAAATGGTGAAGCACACAGTGCACAGAAGTCGCCAACTGTCTGCAGAGTCAATAGCTAAAGACCTCCAAACTTCATGTGGCCTTCAGATTAGCACAACAACAGTGTGTAGAGAGATTTCATGGAATGGGTTTCCATGGCTGCGCAGCTGAATCCAAGCCTTACATCACCAAGTGTAATGCAAAGCGTTGGATGCAGTGGTGTAAAACACGCCGCCACTGGACTCTAGAGCAGTGGAGATGTGTTCTCTGGAGTGATGAATCACACTTCTCTGTCTGGCAATCCAATGGATGTGTCTGGGAGGGGAACAATACTTGCCTGACTGCATTGTGCCAAGTGTAAAGTTTGGTGGAGAGGGTGGTTTTCAGGGGTTGGGCTTGGCCCCTTAGTTCCAGTGAAGGGAACTCTTAAGGCATCAGCATACCAAGACATTTTGGACATTTTCATGCTCCCAACTTTGTGGGAACAGTTTGGGGATGGTCCCTTCTTGTTTCAACATGACTGCGCACCAGTGCACAAAGCAAGGTCCATAAAGACATGGATGAGTGAGTTTGGGGTGGAGGAACTTGACTGGCCTGCACAGAGTCCTGACCTCAACCTGATAGAACACCTTTGGGATGAATTAGAGCAGAGACTGCAAGCCAGGCCTTCTTGTCTGACTTCACTGCCTGACCTCACAAATCCGCTTCTGGAAGAATGGTCAAACATTCCCATAGACACACTCCTAAACCTTGTGGACAGCCTTCCCAGAAGAGTTGAAGCTGTTATAGCTGCAATGGGTGGGCCAACTCAGTATTGTACCCTACAGATTAAGACTAGGATGCCATTAAAGTTCATGTGATGGTAAAGGCAGGCGTCCCAATACTTTTGGAAATATAGTGTATGTAGTTTACTATTTCATTGTTTAACTGGAGTTCAGTGGTAAGTTGGGTGGACTTTATGAATTCAGCACAGCTGCTGTGTTTATTGAACAGTGTTGGCAATTCTTCAGTCTGTTTTGTCTTATCTGACTAATTTCATACTAACTTTAAATGGAGGTACAGTATTAGTTTCTATATTTCAATCATGTTCTTTGCCTTGCAGGAGATATTGCATTTCGCTTTATCAATTACATACGTGCACAAAGAGAGAAACTGATTCGCAACCAGTTAAAATCTCAGCAGAATATGTCTTGGTCAGATATCTCAAAATCATACAGCCATGATGGGCTAGGGTCTTTGATGGGATCCCAGGCTGTGATCTGCGATATTAATAAGGAGATGTTGAAAGTTGGAAAGGAAAAGTTACTGCAGATGGGTTACTCTGACGGTAAGTTTGAGTTAACAGACTAGGAAAGCATAAACCTTAAAAGGGAGACTGTAGCATTGGTATGATTTTGTGTGTGTATGTATATCCACAAGAACCAGGCCTATTCTGGCACTTTTTTTGTTTACAAGTAATAATCAGCATTTTTCTGCTAGAAAATTACTTAGAACACCTAAACATTATATATATATATATATATATATATATTTATTTTTTTTAGTAGAGGCCTTTAGCAGCATTTTTTCAAACGCATTGTCTTTGAAAAATATACACGTTAATGAACTGTAATGCAAAAAAACCCCACAATATATAACCCTTTTTTTTTTTTTTTTTGTAAAATATAAAATACATTACGCTGAGTAAATGGATACCCAACATATTACACTTTAACCACTTGCCCTCCTGAGGATTTACCCCCCCTTCCTGACCAGGCCCTTTTTTGCGTTACGGCGCTGCGTTACTTTAACTGAAAATTGTGCAGTCATGCAATGCTGCACCCAAATAAAATTTACTTTTTTTTTTTACACTAATTGAGCTTTCTTTCGGAGGTATTTGGTCGCCTGTGCGTTTTTTTTTTTTGTGGAAAAAAAAAACAGATTGACAATTTTGAGAAAAAACAATATTATTTATGGTTTGCTATTAAATATGTCCAGTAACAAAAATTCTAAACATGAAATTTCGTCATAAATGTAGGCCAAAATGTATTCTGCTACGTCTTTGCTAAAAAAAAAAAAAAATCCCAATACATGAAAATTAAATAGTTTACACAAAAGTTTTAGCGTTTACAAATGGTGGTATAGATACTGGAATTTTTAATTTTTTTTTATTTTTACTAGTAATGGCGTCGATCAGCGACTTATAGCGGGACTGCTGTGGGCATTCTGACACGGGGGGAACTGACTTGATGTCACTGACATCCCCAGTGACACCAATACAGTGATCAGTGCTAAACAAAAAGCACTGACACTGTAATAATGGCACTGGGTAGGAAGGTGTTAACATGAGGGGTGATGAAAGGGTTAACTTTGTGCTGTTTTACTTGTGTCTGTGTGCTTCACTGTAATCACACTGCTTTGGATGGCTGTGCCATACACAGCCATCCAAAGCAGTGTGCACGAGCTGACGGAGGAGAACTGTATTGTTTACATACAGTTCTCCTCCTGTCGGAGATGCTCGGGACCTGGTGATTGACGGCCGCAAATGGCGGCGTGGGTAGAGTGCATGCGACCCCTATCCGGAAATGCAAAATCACGTGTGATTTTTGCACACCCGTGCCACCTTGTAGCAATATATCTGCTATAGGGCGGTCAGAAAGCTGTTAAAATTGCAGATGCTTGTGGAATTGCGAAAAAACTGCAATAGCTGCTTAAAAATCTCCATAGGTGATACTTTAAAAAATTTTTACAGGATACCAGTTTAGAGTTCCAGAGGGAGGTATAGTGCTAGAATTATTCCTCTCGCTATAACATTTGCATCACTACCTCACCTTTGTGTTGGGAACACCGTTTATTGTGGGTGTGACCACTGTGCATTAACACAGGGGTGAGGGGGCACTTTAAATTATTTTATTTTATTATTTTTTACACTGTCTTTTTAATTTTTTTCTAGCACCTTTATTGCTATCACAAGAAATGTAAACATCCCTCGTGATAATAAAGCATGACAGTAATGACATGACATGTATATAAGACCCCAGATCTCTCCTCCATCCTGGAAAGCATCAGATTAAGAAAAAAAGCCCCTCCCCCCCCCCAAAATGGCAGTTTTTACATCTGCCCTAAACTGGAAGTGACGTCATGCCATCACTTTCGGTCTCCTAGACCATAAAGATGAACATAGACTATCTTGTCTCTGGTCGCCTCTATGGCCAGCCGTTGCAACTGCCGTATTGGATTCTGGACTTCCCAGTGACACAGGTGATGCCGAAAACCACCAGAGAGCAGCGGGAGGACCCCTCCCACTGCTTCTCAAAGTGATCTAGGGGCTAATTAGCCACCACTTGGATCGGTTTTAGCTGAAAGAGCATCAGCTGCAGAAAATTTTAATACAGGGGTTATGGCTCATAGCTGCCGCCATGGCCCTGGTAAACGCTTCAAAACCACAAAATATATATACTTATTGCAGTATTGAAGTGGATATATTGTTTGTTTTACAAATAAACAGCACATGATGAAAAGGGCACCATGGATTAACTGAAACAGCACAAAACAAACACTTCCCTATCAGGCACAATGCCTGCTATTATAAACTGTAATGGAGACATGCCGTAAAGGCTAATTCACTGCTATGACTTGCATTTGTAAATTGCAACTTTCGCTCCTGAACATTTTAAATTGCAGGCTTGTACAGTAAGTAACAAACTATATCTAAAGCCAAAACTTTTTTCCCTATTTAGAATAAAGTTGGGGAGGGAGGTATTATTAATATACAGGATTTATGAATTTGATTTTCCCTTCACTTCCTGTCCTGTAGACTGAACAGGAAAGTGAGGGGATATTTTTCCAATGTAAGGGAAATTCTCATGCGTGAAATTTTTGTGGTTGTGTCTCCCTGACAGCACACTGTCTGCGTTCAGGGACTCACACCCAGACAGATGTCAAATTAGGAGCAGAGGCTGTGCGCATGAAGCCGCTGTGTCCCAATTGACATGACTGTATGCATGCGGATGCACAGAACACCTGTGCATTCTGTCAAAGCAAACACGGCCCTCAAACTGGTGTATGCTTATGTAGGCCCATGAACGAGGTCTAAGGCTGACTGGATCCAGTACTTAGTCACTGACCTGAAACAAGTATACAGATAAGAACTGTTCGACAAAAGTCCGTGTCTGTGAAGTTGTTCCAAGCCAGAGACTCACCTTGTAGTCACATTGACAGGCAAGTTTTTATTGCAGTCTCTGCCCCCATTAAGGAGATTCACTCTCTCTTTATCCTGTTTACCATTATCATTGAAAGTGAAAATAAAAGAAAACCCCAAATTTTGGGTTGTCCCCAGAAAAGTAATAGCGGATAAATCTTCTGTGACCTGGGTGTCCCCAAGGAATTCCCATAATTTGCAGGGATTTCTTCTTACTTCCTGTTTGGCTATGGGACAGAAAGTGAAGAGAAAAGTCCCCAATGGGGCACACATGGCAAAAAAAAAAAAACTGACGGGTTATAACTCTTCCTTGCGCTTTCCAAAATGAAAAACAGTTTTGCCTATAGTTCTACTTTAACCACCTCCTGCCCGCCATATAGTAATATGACGGGCGCAAGCTGGTTCTCTTGTTCTGGGAGGACGCCATATGACGTCCTCCCATTCTCACTGCGCATGCGCGGCGATCGGCGCTGTGTCCCTAGGACACAGCGGATCACCGATCACGGAAAGAGCTGAAGATGTCGGCTCGGTCATGTGTTCAGCTGTGTCCAATCACAGCTGATCACATGTAAACAGGGAAATGCCGGTTATCGGCATTTCTCTCCCCACGAGCTGTCACGCTGACAGCTCGAGAGGAGAGCCGGTAATCGGCTTTCTGCAGAGGGGACATGTACACTGATCATCAAGGCACTGATGATCAGTTTTCCCTGATGATCAGTGTAGCCCCAGCAGTGCCACCTGTCAGTGTCCATCAGTGTCTCGTGCCAGTGCCCATCAGTGCCTACCAGTGCACATCAATGCCACATATCAGTGCCCATCTGAGCTGCCTTTCAGTGTCACCCATCAGTGCCAGTCAGTGCCCCATCACCTATCAGTGCGCATCAGTGCCGCCTATCAGTGCCAGTCAGTGCTGCCTATCAGTGCCATGTATCAGTGCTGTCTTTCAGTGCCCATCAGTAATGCCTGTCAATGCCTATCAGTGTCGATCAGTGCCCATCAGTGCAGCCTCATTAGCGCACATCAGTGAAGGAGAAAAATCACTTATTTATAAAATTTTATAACAAAAACTAAGAAACATTTTTTTTTCAAAATGTTCAGTGGTTTTTGTTTTTTTTAAGAAAAAATAAAAAACCCAGAGGTGATTAAATACCACCAAAATAAAGCTCTATCTGTCACAAAAAAATGATAAAAAATTAATATGGCTACAGTGTTGTTTGACCGCGCAATTGTCATTCAAAGTGCGACAGCGCTGAAAGATGGAAATTGGCCTGGGCAGGAAGGGGGTACAAGTGCCCTGTAGGCTAGTGGTTAAAGTCTTTTCTGTGACTTATGCAGCAGACAGAAGAGATCAGAGAGGAACCACACTCCGTGCTTTGGATTAAGGCTAGTGTATGCTATAGAGGCTAGAAAACCACAAAAGTCTTTTGCATGCATTATTGGGGAATCGAATCTATGCTTCCTAAAATAAGTAATTGCAAAAACTTTAACAAAGAAGAAAGAGTATGATATACCTTCATAATGGTATACGTTTCAATATGTCATCCACTGTTTACCTGTAAAAGGGCCTATTTCTATTTTATATTTGTTTCTGGCACAAGTAGAAAAGTCCGGATACATATACTGACATTATGGTAATCTACATTAGGATACAAAAATACACAGATATAATAATTTCTAAAATTTTTCAATGCTAGTGTTTTTTTTTGTGTGTGTGTGTGGTCATATATATATTTTCTTTCGTATGCATTCATTGCCGTGATGACCCCATTAGTATGCTCCTTTTGAATGGTGTGGATCCCATCTGTTGTATATGAAGACATAGACATTCACATAAAACAATTATTAGTACTTTCTGTGAGAAGGCCTGTGCTGTCATGGAAACCAAGGCTGTAGAATTAAATATAGGCAGAGATGTCCTAGATTGTGAAGAAATGTTGTGCTGCAGTTGTAGGTATTGATAAAACCTAGGATAACATAATAAAAGCTCATTCGGTGCAAAAAGATGCAGAATAGTCTTCTTGAAAATCTTCTGTTTCTGGATATCAGGCAGGTGGACAGATTCCATCATTTGGCTTTTAAAGCTGATTAATTCCTTTGTAACATATGTGTTCTAAAAATCTTTCTTTTGTGGAGGATTTATATATATATATATATATATATATATATATATATATATATATATATATATATATATATATATCCCTTGCCTACATGCACTAAAAGGAGGCAGCTGTTATATAGGTATATCCAGTGTTTGTATTATTTTAGACTGCTCAGGTTTCAAACACTCTCCCAGAGAAGTGGTGGTGAGGTAAGTCTGTATTTGTAAAGCATCTGATTGTAATGCTCACTCCTATAGAGATGGCCAGAAAATATGGCTAGCTAATGTAGCCTCACCTATGGCAGCCCCTGTTCTCTTAAGGCAAGCAGGCCTAGAGCTATATGGTTGTTGGCAGCACTTATTACATGATGCTATATTCTGTAGCCAAGCTACAAAAAATGATACTACAGGAGATGCAGGTGTTTGCTGGGAATGGAAATAGTTGGGTTCCTCAACAGCTGTATAGTCAGTCATTGTGGCAGTAGGTAGACCAGAAGACTGGCCCATAGAAGTGATGTAGCTTTCTGGCCAGTTATATCCAGATAGCTGTTATATCCAGATGGCGGTCCAGGCATCAGGCAAAGACCTGATTATTAAATAGGCAAGGGTGTGCTAACAGGCAGGGGACTAATGAGGAATGTTGAGGCATGCGGAAGCAGGCTAGAATGGTAATCTCCTTACCCTGATGTGAGCCATAGTTTAGGGCAACACAGCACAGTGTGGAGTAAAAATGTAGCTAATTGCTGCTTTGTAGTGAGCCGTTCAATTGTGTTCACCTAGTTACAGATAGATATAGATAATGCTAGATGGCCTCCGTATTCTTTTAAAGTGGTAGTAAACACCGCTGGTAAAGCTTGCCTATAGGTACAAGGAATGTCTCCTAAATGTGCACAGTTTAGGAAATAATCTCTGTGCAGCCGCTGACATCACCGCGCATGCGCTCTAAAGGAACGGCATACCCATGCTGTACCTTCAGAGCTCTGTGCTGCGGCCATGATTCCCATGCGCGGGAGTGACATCATTGGGCTTTGGCTATTCAAGTGCCCTCAAACCCAGAAGGAAGATCGGGTGAAAATAGAAGCCCTGTCAGCGGTGACAGTGTGCTGCTGGAGGGCTTTGTTCTAAGGCAACTGTTTCATAATGTGCTAGTATGCAATGCATTCTAGCACAATATATTACCTTGCAGGAGGATTATTTTTTTTGTGAAAGTTTACTGTCGCTTTAACGTAAACTGAAAATTATGAAGCATGCAATCAATGACACTCTCCAAAAACACAATTTTCTTTTCTGTTATGCAAACCATCTGGTTATAGTGTGTTCTGAGTCACATGTATGCAGATCAGGACAGTCAAAGAAAAGCCAGTGGGTCGTTGTGATAATTAGCATTTTCAAAAGGAGAGATCATCAGCAAAGACAGGCTCCATTCTGATTGTGGCACTAATTTTGTACAGAAAGTACCCAAATCTGTTTTGTTGACTTTATAATGTTGACAGTTGATAGCTTGCTTTTGAAATACTGGCAATTCTAGATCCAGGTCTGTTATGACAAACACAGAATGGGGCTAAGGAAGTTGGTGAAACCTTCAGAACAAGAACACATAAAAAGAACACATCTTTTGACTGGTGTCCAAACAAGTTCTGGATTTTATTTCCTTTTTAGGTTTGTCTTGGGTAGCTGGTGATGCTGAAGAACTGCCCTTTGCTGATGACAAGTTTGATGTTTATACCATTGCCTTTGGGATTCGAAATGTGACCCATATAGAGAAGGTAAGTGAAAATGAGCGAAAATTACTTTTTGAAAGGTTTACATATACTATACCCCTTTGATTGTAAAGGCCATATCTGAAATGTCATGGCATCCAGAGGGACAAAGCAAGCTTTAGTGTTCCATTACCATTGCATGTAGAAAGGGTTCCAGCGTCTTCTTAATCTGCCTCTGATGGACATAGAGCTGGAATCCAAGAGTCTGTATGGGCTCCTGATGACACCGTAAAGAGAACCTTTCACCATCAATGTATATTGTCACAAAGAGGTAAATTGTAAAAATAAACAATGTAAATTCATATACTAGCACATTTTTGTTTCTACAGTCAGGACCAACAAATATTTATACACACATTACACAAACATTAGAGAGGAATTTTCTGTGACCACTTCTATTTGCATGAACAGCTCTTGGTTTTTACTGTGTCAAAATGCTTGGAACGGAAGCGCAGGCACTCTACCTTCCTGCCCTCCTCTTTTTGTGGAAGGAAAAAGTGTCAGAGAAAGATCTTTTGGTAGAAGATGAGGAGGAGATGGAAGCCAGGAAAGATTGTGTATCCTTTTTGGAGGAGTCTCTCAGAAGGAATCTGAGTCCAGTGCTGTTCAGGCTCAGTCGCAAAAGATCACATTAGGTTTTCTGGAGCACGCAGTATGCAAGAATTTAAAGCTGCTACTTCTGTTATCCTCTTCTCTGAAAGTTGCTGGATTTGGGTCCTGGTGGCTGCTTAAGAATCCCAAGTCTTTTTCAGTGCATACTTATTTGCAGGAAGTGCCAATCAGGCTCGCTTGGGGAAGGTGTTCTCACCACCCAAGTGATTCACTCAGCAGTAACCAAAGCAGGGGAAATTCTGCAAAAAAAATATGGTTCTTGGTCTGTTCATGTGGCCATTTCCTACTCAAATAAGACCCTAAAAGCCCCGGTGGATGAGGTCTTGGTCTTCAAAGACACTACAGATAAACATTTGGAGGCCTTCTTTAAGGTGTCCTTCTCCTGCGTTGATGCAACATTACAACTGGTGGTGAGTGTTTTCCAAGCTCTTGTGCAAAGTGTAAATTTCGTTCCAGCTAAGCGGAACCAGGGGACCCAGCCATATAGGTGTACCTGAAGGATTTCCCCTGGGCTTCGAGTTTCTCCATTGATGCCTTGGGAGGACTCCATACAGCAGCTGTTTAGGCTGGACACCATGTACTGTTTGTTCATAGGAGGATACTGTGGTGCAAGTGCTGTTTTGGCCGAAGAAACAACTTGAGAGGCTATTCTTTGAGGGTGAGCGTTTGTTTGGGGGCATCCTTGGATGCCTTCATTCAGAAGCTGTGGCTGTGGGTAAAAGCACACTCTTACCCCTAAGGAAGAATGTGAAAATAGAGGTGAAAAAGAGCTGCAGAGACATTAAAGACCAAGAAGCATTCCTTAACCACTTCAAGTCCGGACACTTTCACCCCCTTCCTGTCCAGGCCAATTTTCAGCTTTCAGTGCTATCACTCTTTGAATTACAATTGCGCGGTCATGCAACACTGTAGCCATATGAATTTTTTTAGCATTTGTTTGAGACAGATAATACTTTTATTTTGGAGGTATTTATTCACCACTGGGATTTTTATTTTTTTGCTATATAAATGAAAAAGTCCAAACATTTTGGGAAAAAAAAAGTGTTTTTCTTATAAAATTTTGCAAATAAATCTTTCTTCCTAAATCTTGGCCAAAATGTATTCATCTATCTTTTTAGTAAAAAATAAATAACCAAAATTAGTTTATAACCAAAAATTTTAATTTTTCAAATTTGTAGTGGGTTTTCCCCTATTCTGTCTTTGGCATTTAGGCCTTGTGGCTGTGTTGCCCACCACTCCTGTTCAGTGCCTTGGGATATTCCAAGTAGGCATGATTTGAAAAAGCCCTGTGTCCTGTGATGTAGGATTAGAATATTTGGTTTACCTGTAAAATGCTTACTTGCGGTACCTTACAGGACACAGGGATCCCTTCCTTCATCTGTGTTCCTCATTGTTTTCTACAGAACTGAGGATTCATGAACTAGTAGGGATTATGTCTAGGGAAAGGGAAGGACTACATATTTTTGGCCAGTGTCCATTCATTTGGAGGTGGCAGCATAATTTAAGTAGTTATGAATATTAAGAAGTCACCTAATGTATGCTAACAAAAGTATTTTACAGGTAAACCAAAAATTCAAATTTTTTTTCAAAGGCTCTTGAAGAAGCTTATCGTGTGTTAAAACCAGGAGGAAGGTTCTTATGTCTGGAATTCAGCCAAGTCAATAATCCGCTACTAGCAAGGTAACTACTAACTTTACAATACATTGCAGCTTCTTTCAGCTTAATGAAATTTAAACACCTTTTGGACTTTTGAATTTATCTTTAATTTCCAATGCAACTTTCACATTTTATGGGTCTGCTGTATTATATTTCATTTTTGTATTGCATATAAAGATTTGTAGATACTCCCCCTAGTGATTATTTGTTTTTCACTGAATTCAGCCTCCCTTACCAACAGGTAAAATCTCAGCAACGTAAAAGTATAGTTGTTAGTCAGCCCATCTTGACTGATAGACATGCATTAAGAGAGATCAATATAAAGCATTTCTAAGCAAAACCTTCACATATAGTGAGCAATATGTACTTTTGTAATCTCAAACTGTACATGCATACAAAGTTTAAAAAAAAAAAAAAACTTGCAACAAACATTAGCAATAAAAAAAAATAGTTTCCCCTTTAAAAGTTTATTACTTTCCCTTATAACCTAAAAGGGCAGTTACAGTCAGATAGATCAGTGAGGACGTTGGAGGGACGTGTAGTGTGTTGCTCTCGCCCCCTTGACTTGCTGCACCTACTTCATAACTTATTACACCCACTGGTGAATAAAGGAGAAGTATGGCCAAAGCTCTTTTGACCACAGGAATGCACTTGTGCTTTCTTGTGACCCAAAATCAGTTGAAAGCAGGCTAAAGCCCGTTGTCAACTGATGCTACTGAGCTGCTCCAGTCTCTGGATGTATTCAGACAATAATATAGGGCTCCACCTAGCGTGCCACAGAGAGCCTGAGCCAGCCTTTCCTGCACCCTCTACAGCCTGGCGCTCCAGGGAACACTGGAGGGGCAGAACATGGACCGGTGACTGACAGTTACTGCTCTTTGCTCAGAGCAGACTTCTCGAGCTTAGAGCTAGAGGGGGACAGCTTGCAGCATTGCACTGTAAGTATGTATGTTTTTTTTTTTCTCTTTTAATTCCACAGTCCTCCATCCTCAGCCCATACTCCACAGCTGTAATCTTCCAGTTCTGTGAAGGTTAATACCTGTGACAGGAACTCAAGAGTGCCGAATATGCACTTGCCCTTTACACCCCGATACTCTATTAGGGATAGGTTTGAAAAAGTTAGGTACTTGAAAATGTAAATCGCCAAAAAAAAAACTTTCAGCAGAATGACATGTTTAGGGTGCCCATTTATGGCCTGGTCTTTGTAGGCAATGTGCTTTTTTGATCATCGCTTGCAAGGTTCAGACCATGTTCAGATCAGTGAAGAACAACAACCCACTTATCTGTAGAAAACTGAGAATGCTTGTTGGGTTGTGATAATTTCATGTTTTAAAATACAGTGAGCAGTCAGCTAAATTACACATATCAATAGCAAATAACCACACTGGTGTTAAGATCCTTCTGAAAGGAAGAATGACAATAGAAAAAAAAGGTAGAAAGGTCTGCAGTGTATATCTCTGCATAAAACCAGCATTCCCAATAGAATCTAGAATCTCAATTACTACCTATCTTTTTATTCTTGGCAGGCTTTATGATCTATATAGTTTCCAGGTTATACCGGTGCTAGGAGAAGTCATAGCTGGAGACTGGAAATCTTATCAATATTTAGTAGAGAGTATTCGACGCTTCCCTCCGCAGGTAATATTCATAACTGATTGGTGTCACACATTCCTGTCTGCTCCAGTTTTAGGAAATGGTTCTAATTTCTTTTGAACTTGCAGTAAAATCACCAGAAGTTTGTAGATACCAGAATTTAGGTTGCTTTCAGTGTGAGTGTAAAGTTTTTCATATACCTGATCTATAGTATCTTTAAAACAAATATGTCGCACTAAGACAACCAGTATGCTTTAGGGCCGGTTCACACTATGGAAACGCAGTCCAGATGCGTTTCCGCGTGTGTGTTTTTAGACGTGTTCCTGTGCGTTTGATTCTTTTTGGCTCATTTTTTTCCCCCTTTCTTTTTCTTCAGTTTAAATAGGGATATGTGCGTTCCGATGCATTTTTTATGCGTTTTACCACATTCCAGTACAGTTCTGTGCAGGAAAAAAGGCAACCTGTTTTTGTTTTTTTTACTGTAACCAGAACACACTGGAACTGCAAGCACTGATGTGAACTATGACACTGATGACCATATAACCTACTTTCTGTATGTTTTGGATGCAGAAAAAAAAGCACACTGAAACACTTGTAGTTGTGAACTGGCCATTAAGGTAGATGAAATGCAAGTGAGCATTAACTGAGATTATATTGGAATCTGAAGAAGTTAGCTTATTTAAGTTTCTGTCCCAAGAAGATGCTAACACTAATGTTCCTAGGGCCCTAGTGACAGTTAAGGAAGCCAAATCAGTATGCCAGACAGTTTGCTAGAATGTTTCTGGATTGTGGGGAGGAGATACATGCAATTATGCAGAGGGATATTCCATTCATATAGACATGGATGTCCAATTCTGAATGCGGTGTCTTGCAATGTTTGGATGGGATTTGGAAAGGATGCAAGTGAAACTTGTGAAAAAGTGAAGTTTATGGCCATGTTTTTGGTTGATATGGCTAAACATCCCGATAAAAGCTAAAATTAAAACCCACTTTTTCTGCTACCCTTACATGCAGTCCAGCGCTTTCCCCTGCAGTAATACCTTTTTGCCACTAGATATCCTCTGTGCTCTCAGTTAAATGGTGCCAGATTCCTTCAGCCCACTTTGTGCCTAGGTTCTTGGGGTGACATTATTAAGCCACTCGGACTCAGCAATACTGCATTGATTTGGTGCTTACACATCATTATGTGAGAGATGTTTAGTACAGTAGTAGGGTACACAACTCACCTGTGATGTCATTTGAGTGCAGGTGGGAAGGGAGGAGGTGTTTTATGGCAGTTTACTTAAAGCTGAATTTTATTTATTTATTTTATGTCTGATGGAATATACATAGAAAATGCTAAATTTCTCATTGATTCAGTGATTGATATGTAACTATCTTTTACTTAAGGAGAAATTTAAAGAGATGATTGAAGATGCTGGCTTTTTCAAGGTGAACTATCACAATCTAACATCAGGTGTTGTTGCTGTTCATTCAGGTTTCAAATTATGATACAAAATGCAGGAATCAAAAAACTAACAGAACCACGACACTGTACAAACACAAAAAACTGCTATTGTAATTTATGAAAACATATTTGCTGAATAGAATATGTAACTTATTTTTGTAATAAATATTATTTGCTGTAAAACTTTTGTACTCTAATAAAATATATGGTCACATGGTATGATATTCCCATGAGAAGTATAATGGGAAATGAAAAACAGCCCTGGTAATGGTGCACAGACCAGCTTTATGTGTGGTAGATAGCAGTCCTAAGGAATTTTTATATGCTTAAAAATTTTGGTTGTTGAAATGCCAAAGTAAAAGCAAAGGATCCAGTTTTTGTTCTAAAGCCTAGTTTCTCTTTTCTACAAAAACTACACTCGTGTATCATCCAGCACTCATTACAGATGATCTCCAGGTTTCCTGTGACTTTAAATAGTTCATTTGGACCAAGCTGGTTCTAATGAACGTGTTACTTCACTAAGTGCTGCACTGGCTCTAAGCACTGTATGTAGCTTCAGCTGCATGCAGTACACAGTGCTGAGTTCCAGCTGTGAGACAGGGACTTCCTGCCTCACCCTAAACAAAACAGAGTTGGTCTGCGTGCCACTTAGCCATTCATAATTTGCTTTGTATTCTGTGAATGAATATAAGATTCCTCTTGGTTGGCTCTTGAGTCAGAAAACATGACGTCCTCAGCAGTGGCGTCCCTACGGTTGATGTCACCGCTTCAGAGAGGAAGAAGCGATGCCGGTGTAGCGGTAAAATGAGTATCCCGGACCCATGAAGATATGTATCCCCTGAAGCAACTGCACATGTGCCGGTTTCAGGCCAAAGAAGCAGATCTCCCACTTTAGCACAGTGCTGCTACAGTTAAACCCTTACAGGCTGCAAACAGCTGAAGCTGATCCCGCAGATCACTATGGGTTGCAGGATCAGTTAACCCCGTATAGGTTGAACCGCGGGATCAGCTTCAGCGGTTTGCAGCCTGTAAGGGTTAACTGTGGCAGCTCTGTGCTAAAGTTGGAGATCGGAAATCGGCTTCTTCGGCGTGAAACCGGCACATGCACAGTTGCTTCAGGGGATACATACAGTTGTGTTCAAAATAATAGCAGTGTGTTGAAAAAAGTGAATAAAGCTCAAAATCCTTCTAATAGCTTTTATTTCCATACACACAAATGCATTGGGAACACTACACATTCTATTCCAAATCAAAACATGAAGAAAAATATATCAAATGTGTGTTGTTCCTCTACAAAAATTGAAGAAAAGTGAATATTAGACTGTTCAAAAAAATTGCTGTGTTTGTATTCTTCTTTACAAACTCAAACATTCACTATATAAACTGAAAAATGTTTGAAGATTTTGCTTTCCTTTGAATCAATTAATATTTAGTTGTATAAGCACTGTTTCTGAGAACTGCTGTACATCTGTGTTGCATGGAGTCAACCAACTTCTGGCACCTGTGAACAGGTATTCCAGCCCAGGATGATTGGACTACATTCCACAGTTCTTCTCTATTTCTCGGTTTTCCCTCAAACTGCATTTTTGATGTCACCCCACATGTTTTCTATTGGATTAAGATCCGGGGATTGAGCTGGCCACTCCATGACGTCAATCTTGTTGGTCTGGAACCAAGATGTTGCACGTTTACTGGTGTGTTTGGGGTCGTTGTCTTGTTGGAACACCCATTTCAAGGGCATTTCCTCTTCAGCATAAGGCAGCATGACCTCTTCAAGTATTCTGATGTATTCAAACTGATCCATGATCCCTGGTATGCGATAAATAGGCCCAACACTGTAGTATGAGAAACATCCCCATATCATGATGCTTGCACAACCATGCTTCACTGTCTTCACAGTGTACTGTGGCTTGAATTCAGTGTTTGGGGGTCGTCTGACAAACTGTCTCCGGCCACTAGACCCAAAAAGAACAATCTTACTTTCATCAGTCCACAAAATGTTGCGCCATTTCTCTTTAGGCCAGTCAATGTGCTCTTTGGCAAATTGTAACCTCTTCAGCACATGTCTTTTTTTTCAACAGTGGGACTTTGCGGGGGCTTCTTGCAGATAGCTTGGCTTCACATAGGCGTCTTCTAATTGTAACAGTACTCACAGGTAACTTTAGACCTTCTTTGATCTTCCTGGAGCTGATTGTTGGCTGAGTCCTTGACATTTTGGCTATTCTTCTATCCATTCGAATGGTAGTTTTTCGCTTTCTTCCACGTCTTTCAGGTTTTGGTTGCCATTTTAAAGCATTTGCGATCATTTTAGCTGAGCAGCCTATCATTTTCTGCACTTCTTTATATGTTTTCCCCTCTCCAATCAACTTTTTAATCAAGGTACGCTGTTCTTCTGAACAATGTCTGGAACGACCCATTTTCCTCAGAATTTCAGAGAGAAATGCACTGTAACCAGCATGTACAACATTTGCTGCCTTCCTTCCTTAAATAAGGGCAATAATTGCCACCTGTTTTTCCAAGAATGAATGACCTCACTAATAGAACTCCACATTGCTATTATTTTGAACATGCCCCTTTCAATTAGTGATTCAATTACACAGAATCAGCAGCATGCATGTCATGACTGTTGGGTCTGTTGGATTTCTATTACTCTATTACACCTGCTAGTAAATTATTTGCCATGTAGAAATATCATTTCTACCAAAAACATTGATCAGGTTAGTGATGTCTGACTGCTATTATTTTGAACACAACTGTATTTTCACGGGTCCGGGATACTCATTTTACCGCTACACCGGCAACGCTCCTTCCTCTTTGGAGGGGTGACACCACGTGTTACTGCACCGGGTGACACCAACCCTAGGGACTTCTCTGCTGAGGACCTCATGCTTTCTGACTCAAGAGCCAATCAAGAGGAATCTTATATTCAGCTGCCACTGTGCCAGGAATCCCGTGTCACCCCAATAACTGACCAGGACCTTCACAGAGCCCAGAAGCTCTGCTGGCATCCTGCACCCCCTGTGATGGTGTCACCCAGTGCGGCCCGCACCCCTCTAGAGATGCCATTGGTCCTCAGCCAATCAGTGGAAGCTTTGCATTCATTTACAGAATACAAAGCAGCCTATGAATGGCTGAGTGCTGCACAGAACGACTCTGTTTTGTTCTGGGTGTGAGTGAAGTCTCTGTCTCACAGCTGGAACCAAGCACTGTGTACTGCATGTAGCTGAAGCAAACTATTTAAAGTCGCAGGAAACCTGGAGATCAGCTTTAAAGTGAAAAGAAGTAGCTCTGGCTGCTATACGTCTCTCCAACACTGTCCAGTGCACCACTTCTGTTCCATCACAAGATTTCTTTGGTCTTTCGAGTTGAATGATGCCCAGGGTCTCTCTAGAGTGATGGTCAGTGGGAAGAATGCTCCTTACATTTGTGGTCATTGGGAAGATGCATATACATAAAAAGATAAATGGTGTCAGTGGGAACTTATCTGAGAGGCAGAAATTGCTCATTGCTTAAGGAACCCCTAGCAACCTCTGGAGGAACCCTGGTTGAGAAACCCTGCTCTAGGTCACCTGTTAAGCTGGCCGTATGTTATACAATTTTCTTGTTCATTTTCCTTTAGATTTGCCTTCAGCTATGCAGTGCAAGGGTCTGCCTGATGGCATACAAATTGAATGTGTTTAAGAAAATTGTATAATGTATGGCCATCTTTAGCTTGGAGAAGGGAGGGAGGGGTAGAGGAGTGCCTTGCCACCCTAGGCTGGGATGCACACAGTGTGGAGAGGAACAGCTGTAGTCCCTGCATGCAAGGGTGGCTCCATAGAATTTTGCAGGAGAAAAGAGCCACCCTGAAATAGGGGAAATAGCAGTCATGGCACCAGCTTACACTGGAACATAGGCAAAGATTAACTACAAAAATGCACCGCACATGCATTCTGGATATGTTGTTGCTTACAGTTCATACCACGCACAGTTATGGTGCAGTTGTGATGCAGTTTGCTATGTTCCAGTATGGTTCTACTATTTTTTTCTGTACTGGAAACTGACTGCACTGGTGTGAACCAGGGCCATTGGAATACCTGGAAAACACTGTGCATTCATTTTTGATGCAGAAAAAAGCGCAATGAACTGCATCTAGTATGAGCTAACCCTAAGGACCAGTTCACACTACAAAAACGCACTCTGGATACATTTTTGCTTACAGTTCACACCACATGCAGTTCCGGTGCAGTTTTGATGCAAGTTTGCTATGTTCCAGTATGGTTCTGTGCAGAAAAATGCAGGTTTTTTTTTTTTTTTTCTGCACCGGAAACTGACTGCACTGGTGTGAACTAGGGCCATTGGAATAAATGGAAAATAATGTGCATGCATATTTGATGCAGAAAAAAAGCGCACTGACCTGCATCTAGTGTGAACTAGCCATAAAAGATAAGCTGCATATCAGTAGGTGAATAAATCAGCTTCTAAACTTTTGCAAAAGAATAAAAATTATTGAAAAGAAATCAGCTTCTGAAGGTGATTAAAATGAAGGTTTAATATCACTGTAGGTCATAATAAATAAAGACAGCCTTATTTAACAAACACAGCATTTTGCATTGCCATATTGTTAATTAACAAATTCTTGGAACAAGCAACATATTGAATGGAAAACTTGCATTTTTAGTATCTAGTGGAAACATGGCTTATTGGCAAATACCCTCAACCAAGTACTTGCTGAGTCTTGTGAGATTTGCCATTCCCTCTGAGAGCTTTTGATCAGACCGTATTGCCTTTCTTTTCTGAATAGTGGATAACCACAATTGTTAGGCTTGTTTCTGAATATGATGGAAAGTCAAACACCGGACTGACTTCCATGGCTGGAACACCTTACTCAGAATAACTGTACTTTCTGGATGCTATCGTCCTAGAGGCTCACACACATTTCCTATCACTGACTTTGCTTGTTTTATTTGCTCAGATATATAAAATTCTGTATGTATTGTTCACTGACCTATAGGTTACAGACCTTTCCTCAAAATTCCAGGTAGGGAGGCTAAATGATTAAAATTCAAATGTGTAGCCGATTCCTATAAACCTACATACGTGAAACTTGAGCTTCAATCCACACCGCATATGTGTGTGAATCGGTAAGAGGACTGCAGTCATTTGTTTGAAAAACCAAATTATTTCTTTTCCCACATCCACAGCCAAAAAGCAGCATTGACATGCTTCTGGATATGTGTTTATCATGATTTTGGCATTACAGAACTGATTTTCAGAATTAAATGTTTTATCTCTGATTTTAAAATGCAATATCGCTCTCATTTTGAGTATAATTCTTTATAACCCAAGGCCTTTCTAAGCAAAAGATTTATCACTTTAGCTTTAAAAATGTATTTTTTAATATTGATGATAGCAAATTATCAAATATGTCAACTACAGTGTGTGCATACTGTACAGTCCAAAGCAGTAATCAGAAGGATCCAGTTATTTGTATTAAATCATGTTCCTTTGACCACCTGCTGTGTGGGAATATTGGACACTGACCAAGACAGAATTGGCCAACATGTACTGTTAGCTGGCAGACAAGCAACAAATAACCCAAATCATTTTCCTATGATAGAATGTTTCCTTGCTCTAAATCTCAGTATGTAAATTATTTTAGATCTATAAAACAACTAGCCCATGTGCATGTAGGTATTCTATTGCCTAATTTTTTTAAGATGTGAGAATGGCATTGTCATAATTTAAAAAAACCTGTCAATTGCAAGTCCCAGCAGTCTGCATACATGGACTGCAAACCTTACTTCTGTAGATACATCTGTATGGTTTTTGTTGAGGTTAGACATTGCATTGTACATTTCTATTCAGTCCTGTTTAAAAAGTTGCAGCACACAGGAAGCCCATGTCTTGAAATGTCTCTTCAGTGCTCTCCAGCTGCTGCAGGTATTCAATTCTGGACGGGTCAAATACCTGCTCTCTTCACAATGGTTCCATCCAGGTACATCCTGAAGCAGTATACAAGTGGACAAGAGGAAAAACAGCAGGCATCAGGAGCTGCTATTCACATTCCCACTGTGTAGAGTACCTGCAATGTGGTGATTGAATACACATGTGTATATATAATGTTGTAAGTGACCCTGTGGTGGTACTGATAATTCAGTGAAAAAAAAAAATCTTTTCACAATTCTGTTTTGTAGGGCAGTAGGTGAGCATTGTAACCCTGAAAAGATGTCAAGGTTTTTTTTTCCCCATAGTTATTAGGATTATAGGGTACATGTACATCAACACACATACATGTAGCATGTCTCCTCATAGTGCAGCAGGTGAAAATTTACATCTCAACGTCTGGGCCTTGGGGTATGGTAGGGCAGACAGCCAGTCACTTTCCTAGGAGAGAGGGTTTAGGGGTGCAGAACACCCAAAAATAGGACAGGTATTCTGAAGTAGTAAAAGGCCCTTTGTAAGCATGAGAGTGGGTTGCTTTTTCTGACAGACACCTGCATCAACTTGAGGCAAGCAGAGCAAAACGTAGGCTCCCCTCTAAGTTACTGGTTCTAAGTGTGAAAACTGAGCAGTCAGACATCGTTGATTGCTCAGTTCTGACAGCTCGAGAGGAGAGCCGGTAATTGTCATTCCTCAGCGGGGACATGTACACTGATGATCAGAGTGCCCTGATGATCTGTGTAGCCCCAGCAGTGCCACCTGCCAGTGCACATCAATGCCACAGATCAGTGCCCATCTGAGCTGCCTTTCAGTGTCACCCATCAATGCCACCTATCAGTACCGTATGAGTGCTGCCTTTCAGTGCCCAGTGATGCCTGTCAATACTTATCAGTGCCCATCACTGCAGCCTCATTAGCACACAAGTGAAGGAGAAAAATCACTTATTTACAAAGTTTTATAACAAAAACTAAAAATTTTTTTCCCCCCAAACATTTTGTGGTTTTTTGAAAAAAAAGAAAAAAAAAAAAAAAACACCCAGGAGGTGATTAAATACCAAAATAAAGCTATCAAAAAAAAAAAAAATTCATATTAGTGTTGCATGACCACACAATTGTCATTCAACGTGTGACAGCGCTGAAAGCTGGAAATTGGCCAGGGCAGGAATGGAGTATAAGTGCCCTGTAGGCTAGTGGTTAATTAATAAATTCATCCTTTAAAAGAATATCTCCAAGAAAATATTTTATTTAACAGTGTTGCCTTATGTCTCCAACCCCCTTTTTCCTTGGGATGGGGGGTGTCAACCTCAACCCACCTGAATTAGAAAGCCTCTCATTCTTAATACTTCACCTGGACCCATCACATTTGTAATATCTGCTGCAATCTGACAGCTAGTCCCAACATTGATACACCCAGCAGATACAAAGCTATACCCTTCACACACACACTTGATATTAAACTATACAATAGGACTGCTTAGTGAAGATGACCATGAATACTTTTTTTTTTTTTAATACACACACAAACTTCATCTTTCATTTGATTCAGTTGAATGATGTAGCACAAGCATGACACAGGTTTGTAAAAAGAAACATTTAATGTTAGAAAAACCATAGAAAATAAATAGTTTCTTTTTTCCCTCACAAACTTTTATAACCAATAAAGGAGCGAGAACATACACAAGATTAATCTCAGTAACAAAAGATACAGAGGGGTAGCATGGAAAGGAGTTGTTCCCATCAGTCATTACACTTTCAACTGTTTACATAGTCCATTTATTTCAGGCATTTAACCTGATTTAAACAACAGAATTGCAACTTGGCCCAGGTAGAAATAAATGAAATGCTTGGTCTCGTGTGTGACGTAGCTGCCAAAGTTTCTGCCCACAATGCAGTGCCATGTAGGGTTATATTTCTTGTCAAATTCCTAGAAGAAAACACTTTGGGTCAATACATGCCACTGAGAATTCACATATATAAAACACGTTAAAAAAAAAACCTAACTCATATCAAAAATTAGCATTATGCTGCCAAATGAGAGCAAGAAAAACAATTTAGTTTGTTATAGGTTAGTAGTGCAGTACATGCACCACTTTCAGTAATCTGTAATACCAATGTGCGGTGCAGCAGCCAAAACATCTAGCATTAAAAATTGATGCGACGCTAGATGGTTGCCAAATCACACTGCACCCCAGGCCTGTGTACAGATTCATAAAGAAATTAAAGTAAACCTTTCAGAATAGGAGGTTAAACAGTATGTGCGTAAAGCATTCACCAGTTTTAAACTGCCTGTGCTTGTAAGGAGTTTACCAACTGTAGGCCAGATTCTGTGGAAGAGCCCAATATTCAGGTCTTGTGTGTACCAGCCTTTAGGGTTGTCCTCACATTATATAGTTTTGTTGCAAGCATTGTACAAAGTTTTTTTTGTTTGTTTTAAAGTTTATACAGGCTACAAAAGTAGACTAGAGTTGTCACTAGCCATCAGAAAGGAGCCAATCAGGAAGGGACAGAATGAAATGACCATCAGATTTCTGGCTGCCCCAAGCTCCATATACAGCACCTCATCTTAGAATTAGCAAGGCACTTTGAGTAAAGTGTGAATGTAGGTACATCCCAATACCCACCCTATCGTACCATCAGTGGTTGAATTTGGCTGAGGAGGGCCCCGTGTGTTAAACAGTGTGCAGGTTTCAAATAGACTGACCTCCCAGTATGCCCAAAAGCCCACCACAAACCCTAGTGAAGTGATCAGCCATGTCCTGCCCAAGATCCAGGATGTCCCAGATGATGTTTGCTCCAGTCATCAGCAGCGGCCTCCCTTTCATGTTACTACTCCACCACATGTGCAGTGTGATCTACCCTACATCAGCAGCTGCATCACAGAAGCCAGCATCTAACGTTTGTAGAGTCAGGACTCGGTCGATCCATGTCCGTGGGAGTTTTTGTGGAAGGCTATGGGGATATCAGTCACGTCAAGTGGTTGTAAAGGATTTTTATTTTATTAAAATATTGAACATATTACAGTTACCTGCTCTGTGCAAAAGTGTTGCATGAAGCAGCCCCAAATTTCCGCTTCTGGAATTCCCCACTGGCTACTCTTGTGTGTGCCCCCATAGCAATTGGCTTGTTATGGGGGCACATGTGGGCTCACTCGCTCATGAACTGGGCTGCATGTATCCATAGACAGCATGGCTCTGCCCCACTCCCTCACAGGATCTGATAGCTCCTTGTGCTGTCTATGTCCTGTGAGGAGAGAACACAAACTAGCACTGCTGCAGTTGGGTGCAGCGCTGACGATAGGACTTAAGTATTAAGGCCTGGTTCACACCTATGCATGTTGCAATCCGCTGCAGGAAAAAAAAAAAAAAAAAAAAAAAAAGTCTGACTCTTTATAAAAACGCATGATGAAAATGCATAGATGTGAACATGTCCCATTGAAGCCATGTTAAATGGACTGTAGTGCTTTTCTGCAAAATGCACTAAAAAAGTGTGAGCCAGGCCATAGGGAGGTGAGGGGGCAATACAATGCATTAGGGTAAAAAAATGTCTCGGGTTTAGGAGGACAAGTTCATCTTTTGACCAAAAATAAATGCACTCTATTTTTTGTTGCAGGAGTCTGTAAAGCATTGCACCGGGGATCAGATCACTGGTGCCATGCAGGTCTCCTGCAGACCCGTCAGTTTATCTGCTTGCCTATATGGGATTTATGGGCAAGCAGATCTGACAGGAAGATTCAATGAACTAGCACGGTGGTGCCGTGGTAGTTCATTGAAAACTACAAGCTGACAGACACTAAGGATCTCATGACTTTGTTTTTAAAAAAGGGACAGCTAGTACAGGGAACTTCTCCCCGAACTTCTGTTGATGGGGGGGTTAGTAGTGGGCACACAACATTTTCCTAAAGGTGAACTTCTCCTTTAAGGCACTGGGTGTCAAAGTGGCGGCCCTCCAGCTGTTGCCAAACTACAAGTCCCATGAGGCATTGCAAGATTGAGTTACAAGCATGACTCTCATAGGCAGGGGCATGATGGGACTTGTAGTTTCACAACAGCTGGAGGGCCGCCAGTTTGACACCCCTGCTTTAAAAGGTATTAAACCAAGGACACCATTAGAAAAATGCATTTGAGCAACTAGAACGCATGGTGCATGTTAGTAGAAAGGTGAACTTGGCCTTTAAGCGCTGGTTCACACCGGTTGTCACGTGACTTGGCGCATTCTAAAAATCGGCAGTTTGTCACGTGACTTGTCGCACTCTATCGGCAATGAAACTGGTCAAATCGGTGTGACTCCCGACTTTGTGATGCCGCAATGATTTGGGGGGGGAATTCTTGCACGATTAATTGCGATTTCAGGTGCGACTTCAAGTCGCAGATGTCTGCCAAGTTGCATTGGCATGCAGCTTTGAAACCGTGTGAGATTTAAACATTGGATCCAGTGTGTACAAGGGCTAAGACTAGCAGTAAAAAAAAAAAAAAAAAAAAAAAAAAAAAAAAAAAAAAAATCGTGGACAACATGCATCCTTGGATAAATTCAATTACTCTGAGGAAGGGAGTTTGACTCCCGAAACACGTTAGCACTTTATCCGAGGACGCATGCTGTCCACGATTGGCACCTTTGACTTAGTCTGTTTTTATGACGTTTATGGCTTGCGAGTACGTTTTTGCTTTTTAATAAACTTTTGGTTTTTGTGTCAATGCGTGAGGAGAGTGTGCCGTTTTTTTTTTCTGCTAGTATCAATATTCCCCAATCAAAGGTGGCACCTCAGCAAGTGCACCATTCCATTTTGAGTGCAGCAAGAGAGATTTGAGATGCTGGCTTCTGGTTACTATAAGGGCTAATGCAGACCATACATGGTTTGAATTCTGAACGATTTTTCGTCCAAAAATCAAAACGTCGTTCGTTCTGTAATCCGATGGTGCCACCAATAATTACGAAAATCGGTCGTTTTTTCCACAAATTTTACAGAATGCCCGATAAACTAAATGTGGAGGAACCACGAAAGTCGGCCGCTACAATTGCCCCACTAACAGAGCAAAAATCGGCCGATTATTCTTAGGTCCGATTTTCGTATAAAAATCATTTGGAATTCAAACCATGTATGGCTTGCATAAGACTAGGTTAATCCCTTCAAACAATCTGCCAGTGTATGGTAAATATAGAGACGTGTTCCCCAGGGAGAAATGTTGAGCAGCCACAAAGCTTGGATACACATGAAACTACTGTATGTATCTTGGTTGTCGTGGGTTTATACTGCATCAAGTATGACGCAAAGCTATTGAATACACAATGCTGCAAGTTACGTGTAGTAAACTGAAAGAACTTCCCCTGCCATAGATTACAATATGAAGTGCGTTGTACAAATGCCCAGAAGTATGCCCCCCCTTCCAGAAGAGTTGTCCCTGTCTGAAACCATGCAGGCTGCGGTGCCACCTTCCAGCAGATTCAGTTACATTGTGTGAACAGGTAGGGGAGGCAGCCTGCTAGACTGGGAAATGTGATCGGAGAAAGTGCCTGTGGCAGGGTCAGCTTTTCTCGTGCTCCTCAGTCAGGCAGTTGAGTAGACAGCTCACCTTCTTGATATGGGCAGCGATGTCCTTCTCGATGTTGTACTTCTCCAGGGCTTGGGTGGCACACTCCACCGCATCCTGCTGCATCTCCTCCGACATGTCGGCATTCTTAATGACCGCTTTCCTCTCAGTCATGGTGGCCTGTGAACACACACACGGATTATCTGGGGTGGGGGGGGGATTCCACAAGACTTGGGCTCCCCCTTTTCTCCTTCACAACTCCCTGACACCCCCATAAAATACAATCAGCTCTGGATAAAGCAGGATCATGTTGAGCCCCCTAAAGCCCACCTCTGCCCTCAGGAGCATTACCTCCCTATATATTAATAGAGAGCGCTACAGTTCCCACCTGGGAAAAACGTGGCTTACAGCTGCCCCAGCTTTCCAGAAGTTTCCTCTCACTGCGAACCCATGACCGACCCCTATGCAGTACATGCCCCAGTCAGCATTCCCCATCTCCTAGGCTGGGCTCCGGCTCGCTATACTCACAGTATTCCAAGTTCTCTCTCAGCAGTCACCGCGTTGTCTCTCACACTGCCGCTTGGCGCCTTGGGGCAGCTCTATTACTTACTTCCACGCTTTCCCACGCGGCATCTGATTGGCCAGAAGCTCACCCACACGTTCAGTCATTGGCTTCCCCGTTCGAGCTCTTCTGGCTCTTTCTTCAGCGTTTTGTTTCATCCCATAATGCGCCGCGGTCTGGGCGTCTGTTTCTATAGAAACAAGTTCTGCGACGGGCTGTCTCATGCCCCAGGCGGCGTCTCCTTGGGAACGGAGCTTCTTCTAAGGAGGGGTGCGGGCCAGGTGGTGTCGCTGGGTTACTCAGGTAAACGCTAACAAGGGCTGAACGATGATACTTGTTATTGTCACAACTTGAGAGGCTCGTTTAGCGCCCCATTAAAGTGTTACTAAACCCAGGACCCTGCATTCACTCTCTCTGGTCCCCCACAGTACACAGGACATGGAAGTGCAATTATTTTAGTAAATATGAACTTTTAAATACATTTTCTCATCAGCAGTTAGAGCAGTCTTGTGACTTTTATGTGTTCAGCAGAGCACTGGTTAAATCTTGGAGGAGTTTTCATTTTGCTCTAAGAGGATGCAGAACCCCTGAACTCTGGACAGTGCTGATTGGTCCTGTGCTGATCACATGCACTCTCCCAAGAAAAAAAAAACCTTTCTAGCAATTCACACATAACTGAGCATGTTCAGAGTGACTCCACACTGATATGTCTTATCAGGAGATAAGACGGGACACTGAAAGTAGGGGGGGATCAGAGAAGACAGGATAAAACAGCCTTGTTACACATTGCAGAGAATTAATCCCTTAGGTTCCACAGTCAGTATAACAAGCATGCTTTACTGCATATACAGACTGATTTTACTGTTCTGGGTTTAGTAACACTTTAAGTTCATTCGTCACTTACTGCACTGGCTCATGCACACTATATTGCCAAAAGTATTGGGACACCCCTCCAGATCATTGGACTCAGATATTCCAATCACTTCCATGGCCACGGGTGTATACAATCAAGCACCTAGGCATGCAGACTGCTTCTACAAACATTTCAGTGAAAGAATGGATCGCTCTCAGGAGCTCAGTGAATTCAAGCGTGGTACTGTGATAGGTTGTCACCTGTGCAAAGTCCATCTGTGAAACTTTCTTGCTAATAAATATTCCACGGTCAACTGTTAGTGGTATTATAACAAAGTGGAAGTAACTGGGAACAACAGTAACTCAGCCACGAAGTGGTAGGCCATGTAAAATGACAGAGAGGGGTCAGTGCATGCTGAAGCGCATCGTGTGCAGAAGTCACCAATTGTCTGCAGAGTCAATAGCTAAAGACCTCCAAGCTTCATGTGGCCTTCAGATTAACACAAAAACAGTGCGTAGAGAACTTCATGGAATGGGTTTTCATGGCCGAGCAGCTGCATCCAAGCCTTACATCACCAAGTGCAATGCAAAGCGTCAGATGCAATGGTGTAAAGCACGCTGCCACTGGACTCTAGAGCAATGGAGACGTGTTTCCTGGAGTGATGAATCACACTTCTCTGTCTGGCAATCCGATGGACGTGTCTAGGTTTGGCGGTTGTCAGGAGAACGGTACTTGCCTGACTGCATTGTGCCAAGTGTAAAGTTTGGTGGAGGGGGGATTATGGCGTGGGGTTGTGTTTCAGGGGTTGGGCTTAGTACCTTAGTTCCAGTGAAGGGAACTCTTAAGGCATCAGCATACCAAGATATTTTGGACAATTTCATGCTCCCAACTTTGTGGGAACAGTTTGGAGATGGCCCCTTCCTCTTCCAACATGACTGCACACCAATGTACAAAGCAAGGTCCATAAAGATATGGATGAGCGAGTTTGGGGTTTAGTAACTTGACTGAACTGCACAGAGTCCTGACCTCAACCTGATAGAACACCTTCGGGATGAATTAGAGCAGAAACTGTGAGCCAGGCCTTCTCATCCAACATCAGTGCCTGACCTCACAAATGTGCTTCTGGAAGAATGGTCAAACATTCCCATAGACACACTCCTAAACCTTGTGGACAGCCTTCCCAGAAGAGTTGAAGCTGTTATAGCTTCCAGCGGGGGGGCCAACTCAATATTGAACCCTACGGGCTAAGACTGGGATGCCATTAAAGTTCATGTTTGTGTAAAGGCAGGCCGACCAATACTTTGGGCAATATAGTGTATATTATATAGATCAATTACTAACCTTAGTCGTATTTGTTTGCATTTCAGTTGCCACATACAGGAACTTTTCTTTCAAAAAGTACAGTACATCAGTGTGCTATATGCCAGCTTTGTAACCATTCGAGCTCCCGAAGATTTTACTCCTTTCCAGGGGCGGACTGACAACTCATGGGGCCCCCGGGCAATAGGGGATCATGGGGCCCCTGTGTCCTTGCCCACACTCAAAAAAGCCTATAAAAAAGGTACCAGGGGCATTTCATGGGGCCCCCTACTGACCCTGGGCCCTTGGGCAGTGCCAGAGTGCTCGAATGGTCAGTCCGCCCCTGCTCCTTTCATGACCAGGTCATTTCTTGCAGTTCAGCACTGCACTATTTTAACTGATGATTGTGCAGTCATGCAGTACTGTACGTAAACAAAATTTATAGCATTTGTTTCACACAAATAGAGCTTTTTTTTGGTGGTATTTGATCACTACTAAATTTTGCGATATAAATGAAAAAGATCCAAAAAAAAAAACCCCAATATTTTCTTTCTGCTATAAAACATATCCAATAAAAAATTTTAAAAATCAAATTTCTTCATAAATTTAGGCCAAAATGTATTCTGCTACATGGCTTTGGTAAAAAATCCCAATAAGCGTATATTATTTGGTTTGGGTGAATGTTAATGTCTACAAACTATTGTATAAATACTGGAATTTTTATTTATTTTTGTACTAGTAATGGCAGCAATCAGCGACTTATAGTGGGACTGTGAGTATGGTGGGCAATCTGACTGATGCTTTTTGGGAACTAACTGCCACTGACATCTCCAGTGCCACTAATACAGTGATCAGTGCTAATAATACACACTGACACTGTATTATTGACCCTGACTGGTAAGGGGTTAACATCTATGGGCAATCAAAGGGTTAACCATGTGCCTAAGAATGTGTTAAGTGTTTACTGTGTGCTGATTTTACTAAAGGATGTGCCGTTTCTTATTCCCTGCTTTGCAGGGACATAAAAGCCAGCACATCATTCACAGAGCTCTGTCCTGTCATCCGCTCTGCTTTACCAGTGATTTATGGCCTGGACACGCTGATCAGCTTGTGCTATAATGAATCACATGTGTGCACCTACTACCCGGAAGAGCCGGATCACATATCAGATACATGATCCAGCACAGAGTGACCACCCTGCAGCAGTATATCTGCGTAGGGAGGTCTGCAAGCAGCTAGACTGTAGTAGGCAGTAGGTGGTGCCTAAATTTTAAAGTAAAACTATGGGCCAAGTAAAGGTGACACATAAAATGCAGTCTGTCAGTAGCGTGAACACAGGCCATACACTGGTCAATATTCAATCTGTGGGTCCTTGTCAGCACCCAACCCCCACTCTGCTGTTGTTTTTCAATTACCTTTTGTTTCAGGCAAACAATGAACACAAGAAGACCTGTATAGCCAACTTTAGCTATAGCTATAGCTTTGTGATCCCCATGCATTGCACTGTTCACTTTTTTCTTTTAAACAAACTTTATTGAAAAGTCACTTATTTTTCAGCACACACCCACCTCAATGTAGTAGGGTGAATCAGCCACACTGGAGACAAGTCATTTTGGCTGGAATAGCCGCCCAACGCAGTCTCACTGCAGCTGGTGTGAATGTATCCTTATGCAGGCCATAGATGGGTTGAAAACCGGCCGTTATAAAAAAAAAAACCAAACAAAAATCGGTCGTTCAATAGGCCGACGTTACCACCAACGGTGAAAAAAAAAAAAAAAAAAAGAAATCGGCCGATTTTCGTCCCGCCTACGGATGGCATTTAATTACTTCTGTCCCTTGCAGAGAGCTCCGCTATTATATTTGACATGATAAAGTCTTGTGGTTGCAAGAATGTATCCATTTGTATCCATTTTGGATACAGATGTTTTTATTCGGATACAAATAGATACATTGTTGCAACCGCAAGACTTTTTCATGTCAAATATAATAGCAGACTGGAATTCTTATTCTTTTCTTCTACTTCTTTTTCTTCTTCTTCTTTTTCTTCTTCTTCTTGCAGGTCACTGCTCATGCGCAGATTTTTTATCGGTAAAACGATCGGCCAATATGCCTATTATTGCTGGGAAAATCGGCCGATCGGCAAAATTGGCCAATTTTTTTTCCAACTTTACCGATAAAAAAGTGCCAAAACCCCGAAAAATGGCCAACCAATTAACCCACGAACGGTGCGAAAATCGGCCGATTTTTTTTTTTTTTCGGCCGAAAAAATCGGCCGATTTTCGACCCATCTATGGCCTGCATTAGTCTTCCTAGTAGGCCCACCTTGTAACAACATGCTATCCTTTACAGTTAAGGAAGCTACTATCTTAGCCTCTGTTTGATCTGTCATATGATGGCTTGACAGTTGAGTTGTAAGCTGATATAAGCACACT